AATTCATATATTACTTGATAATGTTATGTATACTTACGTAGTATCCCGTAATTAGGGTCCGTTTGGGGAAGCTTATATGTGCAGGCGGCGTTTTTAAAATGCCACTGTACCGTTTGGTTCGCGCGTTTTGCTAGTTTATCCAAAACTACGTTTGGCTTTTTACACTAAACATGTCGCGGGTCGACCACCGTAGCCGGCCCGCAGGCCGCGTTTTAGGATAAGCAGCTTATCATGAAACGCACAAGCTGCCCCAAACGGACCCTAACTATCCCCCCTCATAATAATTGCAATCTTATTTACTTTGAAGTCAAGTTTTTGACAGTCATTGCAAAGTATGAAATATAAGTAAGGAAAAATTAATATTATAACTGCATAAATCGTACTGTCATATAAAGTCGGGATCATTTATTTTGAAAATTAGGGTTTTTCAATGTTAGACGTATCCTTTGACCTTAAAAAAATCAGAGTATATCCCTAAACATGTGAGGAATGAACCCTCCAAAATTCCTATTTTGTGATTAATATTTAATATTTATAATTTAAGGAAGTTTCAGAGTATTTAGTTATTTTAAAAACAAATATTAAGCAAGAATTTTTATTTTTAGTCCACATTGTTCTCCTCTTTCACAGAGCATAGGGGTGTTTTTCTTTAATTTTTAGCATTTTTCTACACAAAGTTATGAGTTTTTGAAGTTTCTATAATTATTTAAATAAAAAATACCCCTATATTTAAATAAAAAATACCCCTATTTCTTACTTATACACGTCAACGCCACCACATCCTCATACACGTCAAACTTTCCACGTGGATCCCTTTGATTCGATGCCACCATCCACGCAGCCTCTGACCTAGCCCCGCATTCATGCTCTATTCCGTCATCTGACTGCATCCAAGCCGTCCTTTCAATACACTACTAAATGGATGACATCCGTTCATCGTGCTCGATCTCCATAACCCAAGAACCACTCACTTTCTAAAATTAAGATCTCGCTCGATACTAAACCAAATTAAGTGAGGTTTGTTCCAACAACTTCATCTAGGTGAGAAGAACCTATATATACGGTTACATGCGTATGAAATACAAGTTTGCTTCATAAAGTTTCAAACCAAGAACTAATTTAGGGATTTTGGTCCATCTCTTTGTCCAAAAGGTGTAGCCTCAATTAGATTGGTTCCTGAGCTTCGCCTTGAGTCCATGAACATTCTCCAAGTGTTGGTTTACTTAGGTTTTAGCACTTGGTATGACTTCAATCGAATGTTGGATCGGGTTTGGTATAGGACTATGTTAGAGTGCTCGGGAGAGACGAGTTTGGATTGAGGAAGTCTCCGTTAGCTCTTGTAAAGCTTTTGGAGCAATCAATTTTGATTTTTTGTTGACTTAGGGTAAGGCAGTGAAATGTTCTAATTTTTAAGTTTAAAATTAGGGCTAAGCAGTGAAGGAAAGGGCTAGAAAGTGATGGGGATCAACTTCTCAAGGTTGCTAGAGGATCTCAGAACAATTTGGCAGGGCTTCGCCATGGTCTTAGCACTTCTCTCCATTTGGTCGTGAGGGGTGCTCAATTTATACCCATGGCCATTGTGCAAATTGGGCAAGCCAGGGTGGCCAAGATGAAGCCTAGATGGAGGGAAGAGAGGCTTCATTGCCCAATGGGAATGAACCATGTTAGGGAGTCCTAATTTTGGGTTTGAGCCTTGGAGGGGCTCTCGGGCTTGGTGTTTTTGGTCGCTCGGGTGCCCGGTCAGGGAAGGCGTGGTCACCTCCACACTGAGGGAGGTCCGAGAGGTTGTGAAGTCAAGTTAATTTAGTCGAAAGATTGTTCATGGCCAAGATCCAAAGGGAAAATGAGGTTTGCGTTTGATTTGACTTGTGTTGGGTTGAACCCCTTGGTCAAGTGGCTAGCTCAAGATTAGAAGGGCTATAGTGATTTTCTTGACCCCAAGGGAGGTTTAGGTGGGTTTAGGTGGCTAGTTTGAGCATGGAGAAAAGGGCTTAGATGTATCATGAGGATGGGATGACTTGTGTGAGAAGGAAAAGGGAAGAGTCCTTTCATTTTTGGAAAAGTTGACTCACATAGAGCTTATGAATGGCTTCATAGGTCATATCATGACATGCATGATGTCCTGAGCAAATTTCATGAAATGGAAAACTTTTATTTTTATGAATTTTAACGGAAAATACCATGATGCCAAAATTGGGCAAAAATTCAAATGTATGCATGATTTGATGTCATGATGCATGGTTTCCATTAAAAGGCTGATGAGGGAAGAAAATTTGTCATGCGGGCATGGATTTGGAATTTTCAAATTAACGAAATGGGCTTTTGGAAAGGCATGTGGAAATGGGTTTTTTAAATATTCATATGGAGAAGAGCTTTTAAAATGCAGGGAATTTTTTTTTTAATTAATCATAGGCTAAATCAAATGGGTTTGAATTTTGAAATTGAGTAGGTTGGAAGTGAATTGGGTGAAAATTGAGGTTTTTGTATTTTAGGGCCAATTTAGTAATTTTGGTGAATTTAGGTAAATTGGGTCAGTTTGGGAAGTTTTGGGATGTTTAGGATCAATTTGGAAAGTGTTATGGTATGTTTATGGAATTTTGGTGGAATTTGACAATTTTTTGTAAATGGGTGTATTTTGGTAATTTTTGGGTAATGTAAGGGTATTTTGGGAATTTTGGGGGAGATTGGAGTATTTTGGACAATTTGAATGGTTTGAAGTCGGATGACCTCATTTTGGTGAGAATTTGAGAAGCTGGGCGATTTTGAGAATTTTAGGGTCTTATGTGTATTTTGGTACTTTTGTAGAACTTTGGGGGGGTAGAAGGCTGAGGTTGGATGTTTATGTGGAATTGGAGGTCATTAAACATACTAATCATGATGTTTCCCTTCTGATGCCATGAGACCAATGGGAGAGCCGATTTTGGATCCTCCATGTGTTGATCCTAACCACCCTAGCCAAATGCTAAGGGCTTGGGGGCCACCTACATGAGTTTCCAAAAGAGGGGAAAAAAGTCAAATGTTAATGATTTTTGGGTTTGGAGATGTGTGGGTTTTTGACGGGTTCAGGAGTTTGTATAAACTTGACCAAAACTAAGCCAATCATGGCTAACCTTAAGGCCTGACAATCTTATGAGAGTTCTCTCTGAGCTTGCCCATGTTGGTTCCAACCTCTAAGTGCTAAGTGCTAGAGGTTAGAACTAGAACTATACATGTGAAACTTCAGAAAGAATAAGGAAGCATTTAGAATTTCTAAGGGAGATGGTTCCGTCACTAAGTTTCTAAGATAGTCGACATGAAAGTCATATGACTAGATTCTAGGCTTCTAGAGAGGAGAAACTCAGACCTCACCAAAAATGAGGTCAACACCCCATTAATTAATTAATCAATTATTTAATTAATTGAATTATAGAGGTTGACCCCATGGTACCATTGGGTCCACCACATGGTGTGGTGTTATGGACATGTTGGGTGAGGCTCAATTGGATTTGGATGTGGTCAATTGGTCAAGATTTGACCAAAAATGGGGTAGGCCCAATTGGTTTTAGCCATCTCAAGGTGCCACCAAATTTTTGGGGTAAAATGACATATTATGGTTTATGGTAATTTTTTAGGGTTTGGCGGGGTTAGATAGGCCCTTATTGAGGTTAGGGGTCAATTTGGGTAGACCCTCTTTTCAAAGTGATTTCATGGTCAATGTGGTTCCTAGGGTTAATAAGAAGACCCTTAGGGTTTTGGGTTGATTGAGTGACCTAGGGCATGCCTTGCCTATGGGGGTCAATTTGGGTTCCTCACCTGGTTAAAACCCTAAGTCATCCCAACCCTAGGCTTGTCTTGATGGGGCCCAAGAAAATACAAGCCTAGTGTGGAGTCATGTGCAAGCAGACGGGGTGAGTCCTCACAAAAGTGAGATCAACATAGGCTTGCTGAATTGTCGGACAGGCGGGCCCGAACTTACTTTTGAAAATTTCCAACCCTAGAAATGTATCATGATCTATGTTAATTTTTTGATGAAATAATAAAAAATCAACCAATATTATGATTAATCAATATGTTGAAATTCATTTTATTTATTTGGGATCAATTCCTCAGATTTTTTATATTTAGGCATACCATTCATCAATAATAATTGTTGGTCCAGTTCATAATTTTTATGAATAAAAAATATATTAAAATATCCAAATATGATTAAATCAAAATAATAAGTTCATATTTAAATTTACAAAATATACATTTAAAATTAAAATATATTAATTTTTTATCTACTCAAAATTAATATATAATAGTTTTAATTTTTATTTAAAATCCTTCAATTTAAATATTTACTTTTTTGAATATTTTTTATTTATCATGGTAGTACAAATTAATTCATGATTTTCTTTTAAGTACTGATTTCAGAGTCTCGGAGAGAAAAAAATATTGCATCTGGAGTCCGGACGTAAAGCTACGTCGGGATGCAATATTTTTTCCTCGGAGAGAGGCGTGGATGGATCAATGTAACAAGTAATAGCCTTCCTTTAAATGACATCTTTGCAAAAATTATAGAAAAATTCTGTACTCATCTCATAATTTTTGTTTATTTACATATCTACACAAAAACTTTGATATGTACACATTACATATAAGACTCGTGCTTTAAATCTATACACATAAAGGTGTATTTCTCTTTTAAGAAATTATAATAATATTATTTTTTACGTGGTATTATATATCTGAGTGTTATCTGCATAAATATGAATGTTCATGTGAGATATGTAAATAAATAAATATAGCGTGCTATGTATTTAAATTATAAGAGCAAATATTTTTTCGCTTAATTTCGCAAAATTCGTCCCTTTTCGGGGACTCTTTACACGGATATAATACCAATGTAGTAAATATAGAAAAACAGTATTTTACCAATCTCATTTGCATCTTCCCGCCATAAAAACAAAAACCTGCCGTCAAATTCGAAACCCGCAATCAAATTGGCCCGCGGGAGTAGACCCAAACCCAAAGCTCCTTCTTTTCCCGCCAACGTAACCTATTTGGCCTTAGTTCCGCCCGCTTTTTGTTCCAATTCCTACTTCTCTAAATTGCTCTGTTATCCTCACTCGCGGGCGCTCTCTCTCCCTCTCTCTCCCTCTCTCTCCCTCTCTCTCCCGATGGCGAATTCAGTGACTCCAGGAGCAATCTCGACTCTTCTTTCCAACCCTTCGCCCGATTCTACGTCAGAGACTGGGCAGATAATTGTGCAAGTCGTCGATCTGAAGCCAATTGGTAGCAGCACCACCCGTTTCACGTATGAATCTGTTTTCTCTTCTTGCCTATTTGCTTATTGTTTACGTTCATGGACCCATTTTTTCTTCTTGTTTCAACTTCAGATGTGCATTAGTTTCTTGCTTTATATGAGCTTTTATTCAGTGGAAAATTCTATCGTACCTATAATCCTTTTAGATTTGACTTAACCTTTATATTTTAACTGGTTCTTCTCAAAAGGGCTTTGGGCACTATGTTGGTCCAAGGAATATTATCTCTGTTATATATTTGTGATTTATATGAATATAAAAGAGGTTGAGAATATTTGCAATTTTTGACATATTGTTTATAATGACTTGCTCCAATAGGGTTGTGAATTTAGCTTGAACATGAATCACTCGATGATTAATTTAAATTTTGGTTCGGGTCGAGATCAGATCAAAATAAACGAGCTAAGCTGTGAGCTAAAAAATTTCGATTGAATTTGTTTGGAGTCGATTTTGAGCCAACCTCAACTTGAATCAAACCTGGATCGCGAACAACATATGATTGTGATTTTAGTAAGCATTAAGTGCTTAAAAGGATGATTTGAATTTTTGCTTAGATCGAGATTGGATTGAAATAAAAGAGCTCAAATACAATCCAAAACTTCCAATTGATTTTTTTTCGAGCCAATTTTGAGTAGACCCAGATCCACTTAAAATTAGGTCTTTAAGATGCAGCGGTGACTGGAAGGTCCGTTCACCGCTGCATGTCGTCCGTTGTTCGCACATCCGGTGACCGGACAATAAAAGTTGGCCTTTAACAGCCCTATGCTCCAGCCAAAGCAACATAACTGAACATTTATTTTAAGCATTGACCACCATGTTATTTGTGTGATATGCAGCTTTATGGCCAGTGATGGTAGCATGAGGCTCAAGGCCATGTTACCGACACATTTTTCCTCTGAAGTCAATTCTGGAAAGCTTCAGAATCTTGGCCTTATTCGCATTCTAGATTATACATGCAATACCATCCCTAACCAACCTGATAAGTAAGCATGGATTAACAGCTAATCTATAGTACAGCTCTAGTATCTGTTATCCCCATAAATACTTTTCTTCCAGGGCCTTGATTGTGACTAAATGTGAGATTGTTTCTGCTGCACTTGGTTCTGAGATCAAATGTCAGACCGAGGAGACAACAACACTGTTAAAATCCAAACAAGAAATAGTGCCAAAATCCGCAGCACAAATTGTGCATGAGCAGCGTATTAAGTAAGCAATTCAACATTTAATTTGCTGGATGTTTATTTCCCAACAAGATTACGTCTGTTTGTCTTCTTCTACAAAAGTAACCATACTTTGATACTAATTTCTTGAAGTAAACGGAAAAAAATAAAAGCCTAGCAGCTGTTCTTTGTGCATGACATTGTATAGTTATAATGACGGAGTTAGATTCTGACATTGTACAAATTATTAAACAGTGCTGCTCCTGCCGCTCGTTTGTCGATGACTAGAAGAGTCCATCCTCTTTGTTCCTTGAATCCCTATCAGGGTAACTGGACCATAAAAGTAAGAGTGACAAATAAAGGTAATTTAAGAACCTATAGGAATGCCAAAGGGGAAGGTCAAGTCTTTAATGTAGAACTGACAGATGATGATGTGAGTATTCAACTTTTCATAGTGCTCATTATTTGACAAATATCTTGTTCAAATCAGTTAGTTTGAACATTGTTCTTAATCACACATACTTTTACAGGGCACCCAGATACAGGCTACAATGTTTAATGAAGCTGCAAAAAAATTCTACCTGAAGTTCGATCTTGGCAAAGTTTACTACATTTCCAAAGGAACACTGAGGCTAGCAAACAGGCAGTTTAAAACTGTTCAAAATGATTATGAGATGAACCTGAATGAAAACTCTATAGTTGAAGAGGCACAAGGGGAGAGTGCTTTCATCCCAGAAACCAAATATAACTTCGTGAAGATTGACCAATTAGGGTTATATGTTAATGGCCGGGAGATTATAGGTCTGCTATATTCTGAAAGAGTGCTATTTTATTTCTTTCTGTACAAGATCAAACAAAAAACTACTTATTTATGCATTTGCTAAGAAGTATTGTTTTTCTGCATTTGCAGATGTTATCGGCGTGGTTCAGAATGTTTCTCTAACTTTAAGTGTTCGAAGGAAAAGCAATAATGAAACGATTCCTAAGAGGGACATAACTCTTGCAGATGAATCGTGAGTGTTTTGAATGAGTTAATATTAACTAATCGTTGTTGCTCTGTTGCTTTATATTGCCTCCATTGCAGAAACATGACTGTTGCTGTGTCTTTATGGAACGATCTTGCTACTACCATTGGCCAGGAATTACTGGACTTGGTTGATACTGCGCCTGTTGTAGCAATTAAAGCACTTAAAGTTGGAGACTTCCAAGGTATTACAGATTAATTAAGCCTCGCCATAATTAGACATCCAAAAGGTCGGACTAAAAGAGCAATTTGTGCATTATTACTATCAAATAACAATAATTATTAGTTTGATTTCAGAAACTATTGATTAACTTAAAATTTAATGTTTTGATTCTAGTTTCTTGCGTTCAATTAAAACCATTTCAAATTAACAAAGTTTTGCTTGAAATGACAAGATTTTGAATTGTTTCTATTTTTTTTTAATATGTATAGAATTAACTTCGAAAAAATGAATTAGTTATTTGACTAGAAATTATATTTAATTTCATTTTAGCCAGCGTAAAATTAACTCCATCTATTATTAGGGTTCAAAGTGACTTTAAATTTATGTATTTTGTTATTTCTTTTGGAAAAATGGCTAACCATTTTTTTATCATACCTTCGTTGAAACGTCTAAAAACTTTCTGAATTATTTTAAGAAAATGGTAGTGTACCTTTTACATGTAATGTATTTATTTCGAAACAAATCTAATTATGTATGACTCATGCTAACTAAACCCTGGTCAAGGTATTTTAACGTTGATTGTTTTCTCTAGTTTTTGCTTGCTTTTAATTTATTTAATCAAGGAATGTTTTTTGGGATTAATGGGTGTTTGATATCCAATTAAATAAGAAATGCATTAATTTTGTATTTAATTTTAGGCAGTTTTAAAAAACAAGAAAACATTTATGAGTTATTATTTGTTAAAAATAACTAATTATGGGCTTTAATTAATGTGTACTAATTATATTTAAGATTGTATCTTATATTGGCATTAATGTGTAACAGAATTTATTTCAAACATTCAATAAACATAAATCAATGTAACTTAATAATTCTTTCAAATTATCTTCACCATTAGAATATTTTTTACCAGTTTTATCAAATAAGAATCAATTTTATTTCACAATTCAACCTAACATAAAGATATACAATTTAAAGTTTTACGATATATCACAACATACTAGAAATAGAAACGACAAATAGAAAATTACACCTAAATTGATTTGATTTAACTAGAAAAAACATCAAAAAAAAAAAAAATGTTTTCCAAAATTATGACGATGGATGCCACTTTCACATTAACACAACCAAAATTTGGCATACGTTGTGCTTTACAGAACTGCTAGATTTGAGTCTAAATATGGTTGTCTCGCCAAATGGTTTCTCTAGGTGTATCTCTGTCAACGCTCACCAAAAGCACCGTGCAGATTAATCCAGATTTGCCGGAGGCAAAAGCACTTAGGTCTTGGTGAGTTGTTATTATGGAGATAGCGTTCTTCTTTTAATGCTGGTGAAATAGTTTTTCTGGTCGCCTCAAGCTCCATGCAACATGGCAGGTATGGCTCCAATGGCAAGGATGTAACAATGGCGCCCATAGGTTCCACTTTGAATTCCATCTCAACGAGGACTGGACAGAGATCTATGTACTCTGATAGAGTTTTCCTATCTCACATTATTAATGACCCTACGTTAGGCCAAGAGAAGGTAAGCATTTTTTATCTTTTGCGTAAAAATATTTTTGTTTTGACTTCCGTAATGAACTACGTTTTTTTTTACTTGCTCTAAATGGCTACCTTGTTTTCCAGCCCGTCTTTTTCAGCATAAAAGCTTATGTCAGCTTTATCAAGCAAGATCAGACAATGTGGTATCGTGCTTGTAAGACTTGCAATAAGAAGGTAACGGATGCTGTAGGATCTGGGTACTGGTGTGAAGCATGTCAGAAGAATGATGACCAATGCTCTTTAAGGTACTCATGCTGTAAAAAGTGTAGTATCTATCAGATATAATAGCAAAGAAATAATTCCTTACCCATGTTTTCGTATTGGGTGTAGATATATAATGGTGATGAAGATTTCAGATTCATCAGGTGAAGCTTGGGCTTCTGTCTTCAATGAGCAAGCAGAAAAAATTGTTGGTTGCACTGCTGATGAACTTGACAGGATAAAGTTTGAGGTAATTTGCTTTTAAATCATATGAGTTGCCTATTTTTTCATCACATTTGCTAATGCGTTTGTGTGATGATTCAAATTGTTTCATTAAAAAAGCTGGCATGAAGTATGCCTTTGTTATTAATGTAAAACCTTTGAAGCTACTATCTTTTAAATGTTGAGCTTTTAAACGCCACATTCCATGTTCTATATTTATAATGTCTTTTGCTTATGTTTGATGCCAAGTGCTCCACTGATATTTGATGCTCAAGTGCTCCACTGAATATTTTCAGTATTTTTTCAGGAGGGAGAGGATAAATTCCAGCTCAAGCTAAAAGAAGCAACATGGATTCCTCATCTTTTCAGGGTAAGCGTCTCGCTATCTGAGTATATGAATGAGAGGAGGCAAAGGATAACTGTTAGAGCCCAGGCACCTATAGATTGCTCTGCTGAAATAAGATATATGCTGGAAGAAATCTCAAAGATCGCAATTTCTTAAGTTCGTATGCTGGAGTCATCAAATTGAAGCAGTTGAATGGAAATGAGCTCTTTTACCTTTAGTGGTAATATATTTTATGGAGAAGCTAACAACATTTTTCTCTTTAAGAGATTTTGGCTATCATTTGTTTTCTAGGTTTGTGGTATTAATGTTTATAGAGATCCAACTATTTAATGCAACTAAGAAATATCAAGCTTTATCTAATCAAAGTATACTTTGCATTATTTCAAAAGGATTTTGGGATAAATTTGTTTGACCTTGATTTATTTAGAGATTCATCTCCTTGATTAGGTTCTTGTCCAGCTCTCCAAATATTCGTAGTCTCTTCAATAACCTTTCAAAACTTGTTTGAAGTGTTCTTTAGATTGTTTAAATCTTGTAACTTTTAATGTACCTTTTGTGATGGATTTTAGATATGTAAGATTATGCTATTATGGTTTTAAATTTTTAGTTTTGACAATTCTTAAAAAAAAAAAAATCAGTTTTATTATATATAATTGAATAATTGAAAAGTTTTTGTTAATTTCACTGTTATTGAATTTATTAAGATAAAAAATAATCAGTAAAGATGGAAATGCCCAATAGTATTTAGCATGTTTTTAAAACTCAATTTGAATTGCTTTGTTTCGACTGATCCAATTGTAAATTGGTCATTCATTCAGTTTTTAAGTTGAGAATTATTTTTTCATAGAAACAAGATTTAATTGGTTTGGTTTTAAAGAAGTCAGTTTAATATTAATTAACTACGATTTATTAAATTTAATTTAATGGTTAAAATTAATATATAAAACAATAAACATAAAATGTCATGTTTTTAAATTTTTATGAAGAATATTTTTTTAAATATTTAAAATAGTTCTAAATTAGAATATTATTTATTGAATCAATGAATTTGATAATCAAATATTATTACTTTTAAATTTAATTTTTTCAATATTTTGAATATTTATTATATTATTTGGTTAAAATTTGGTTTAATTTGGATTGGACCATTAAACTTTGCATATTCTTATTTTTTTCTATTCAATCTCAGGTTTGATTTTCATAATTTCGATATTTAATATTTTATTTAGTTAGCCATTGAACTATTTTTGTTTTCAATATAACAGCATCTTTACAAATTATTAACATCTTTAGAACTGCATCCTTAAGGTGTGACTTTAACAACCCAAGAACTAAGCAGAGAATACTAAACTGGTCGAAATTGTACGGATTGTTAAAAGGCAAGAAAGATAAGTGTAAATCATCGAGAATCAACTTTGTCGGAAGCTGATAAGTCAGATCTGATGATTTTTGGAATGTATTATCTTATGCTTTTTATTATCTCTTACATATATTAACATTGGGGCATTTACATACATAGAACATAATTTTAATGTAGTTGCATATCTCACCTAGATTGTCATATTTACACAAGATTTAAATCTTTAACCTCACAAAAAAGCATTATTTTAATTTTGTAAAAGTGAAGTATATCTATCAAAAGCAAGACTAAAGGTCTCATCACCAAAAGATGGAAGGCTCGATTGACTAAATATAGATAATTTGGGTCAGGACCAGAAGTCGGTCGAACGGAGGCCGTCCTGGCCAAAATAGAAAATCTATCAAACGACATCAGCCTAACTCTCGCCCCAGCATCATCAGCCGCCTCAGTCAAGAAACGACATTAGCCTAACTCTCGCCCCAGCATCATCAGCCGCCTCACAAAAGTCTCCAAGGCTATTTCAATTGTACCTTTTGTCAAAGGATGAACTACTTACGAATTACCATAATGTACACTTTGCACAACATTCTTGGGATTGATAGTCGACAATTGAAACAAAGAAGCTGCCTGGTTGACTGACCAAACCAAGTTTGAACGACCAAATATTAACTAGAGCTAATTGACAATCCCAACTCAGTATAGTTGATCGAACGAGCCTTGCAACCAAGTCACCCCAATCGTAGCCGACCGAAAGAGCCATGCGACCCAATGACCCCAATCTCAACCGGCCAAGCCATAGTCTTATTATTGTAAATACCCAAAATATCATGCAACGCCATCTTTCAAGCTGGGGTAAACATATCATTATGCACATGCTACCCCCTCCCTTATAAATAGTGGATCATTTCTACAATAATGACTAGTCAATCTAGAATTTCTTGTTTTGTTATTCATTAGTGTCACACACACTCTCTTTTATCTATCTTTCTGTTTTTATCTATGCTAGTTTTCTTGGAAATATAAAAAATAATGCATCAATATTTGATTCATTATTTTTTATATTTCCAATGATCCAGCAGTTCGAATATTCCTTGTGAATTCCGCACAAAGATAGTTGATTTTTTCATATACATTGCTTTCTATTGTTCCTTGTGAAAGGAATATTTTCTTTCTGAGATTTTCATATGAAGTCAATATCTGTATTTTTTATTTTTTATTTTTGGTCATTGTCCAAAATTTATTTTCCAAATGGCTGACAATTCTATGCCACTTGCGAGGGCTCGAGATGCATCAGATGAAGGCAACCGCTAGTTTTAGAAGATGAAGACAAATATGCCTCCATCATTTGGTAGGAGCTCATCAATATATTTTAAAATATAAATAAAGTAAGGAAAGCTTGATTGCTTGTTTGGTTAAAAAGGAAAAGCAAAAAACTATTCGAGAGTTGAGGAGAGTATATTGGGCTTGGGAGAATTATTAATTAGTGTTGAGGAATTAAGATACTTGATTGAAATTAATTACCTGAAATGGTTTGTCATGTCTGGCTGTGCACAATAATAAAATTGATTATTGACGTGAAAAACTGAAAAAAAAAAGTATTCTCTTGGGTTTTAAATTAGTAAATATCAAGCCGAAATGAAATAACAATAATAATAATTTTAGGCATGGGAATACCTTTGAAATACAAGATAATTTAAATGTAAATAATTTATTGTACCATAGTCAAATAAAAAAAGATTAATTTACATTAATTAAGAAACTAAACAAATCATACTATACGATTATGTTTAATTGTAATGGTTAAATTACCTAAATTTCATTCTTAAGCAAAATTATATTTAATTTAAAATAATCATACTTTATGACATACATTATAGTGTATGATATATTTTTTTAATTAATTTGATTAACATAATAAAAATTAATGTTTAAGATATACGAAATAGATATAAATGATCATTCTATATGATTTGAATAATACTGCATGATACTTTAATTGGCGCGTCACTTTGATTGTTTTATGAGTTTTGATCAAATGCACCTCCCATATGCTATATCTTTTCAAGCCCTAAACATGAGAAAGCTGGAGAGATCATGAAATTTAATGCAAAAAAAAATTTTAAAAAACTGTTTATACTTCTTTTTTTATTTTTTTTATTTTTTTAATCAACCTAAGAATCTTTAAAGTAGAAAAACATGGTCGTCTTAAAATTTATTATTTTTTAGTTGGTGTGATTCTTTTTTTTTTTTTTTTTAATCTCCAATTATTCATGAAAAAATTGGTATCACTAGACAGTTGGTTGGAGTGCCGATCTTTCCATTCAGAAAGAACGAGTAAAGCTTCTTTATTATAAATTAAAAATAGAAGTTTTTTTTTTCACATTATTGCTGCAAAAAGAGAGGAGGGAAAATTTATAGTGAGTACTCGGGCATGAACATAAAAGATAGAGAGTTGAATCTTGATAAATTAAGTTATAACTTTACTTTTATTTTTTCACATTACTCTCTTACTTCATATTACACCCTTACATTTGTCATGTTATGATGTGATAAAATTATTGTGATCTTTATAGGGGATGATTTGTATGTTAGTTATCTGATAGGCCGAATCATTTTTATTATATAGAATAATGTGAGAGAATTAATCAATCAGGATGTCAGCACAATTTTTGGGGTATTGTGAAAGCTATCGATGGCCGGAATGGAAATTTTGATGCCCGCTTCGAAAGGGCATTTCATATATATATATA